ACAGGTTTTTGAAGAACAGCAACATATAACCTTATGCCTTAGATGACTCCTGTTTTCTTCCTGATTTTCATTTTCAAAAAAACTCTTCATTATCAACATCACATTAAAAAACTATAGCAAGTGATTTTATCTCATTGAGGAAGAAGGAAATTTTCAGGATGTACTTTAGAGCTTTTATTGAGTGTGGTGCAAATTATGAATGAATATATTTTATTTAAAAACACGTTATTGACAGAAATCTATCAATAATAATGTGGGTATTGTCAAGGGCCTGTCAATATTAATGTAATTATGATTAAGAGGATACCATGGATTTTAGCCATAATACCAAGTAACATCTCCTACATTGCTGCTATCAATACACACATTATTATTGACCTGTTCTGGGATTCTCAGGACTAGATGTATTACCATTAAACATATTTGTCAATGCATACTGCCTACAGAAATTCTACATTTAAATTTACAGTCCTGTAAACTTTGTCAGCAGAAACCTCCGAGTTCCGATTAATCTCTACGTTATCACACATGCCCACTCCCTCTGCCAGCTTCTTTTGCAGCTTTACAACAGAGAACTCAGCCTTCCCAGGACTGCTGTACTGTCTGAGGAATTCCACTATTCCAAATGGATGCAACTGGAACTCCGTTTTCTTTCTCTCTAGGTTTTTATAAGTTTAAGGCTAAAACTTCATTCCTGGAGGTTATGTGAATAATCTGTAAGTGTAGATCTTAAGTTTTGAATCTATGCTCTACTATTTTACCTTTTTTGTTCAGTCAGATAGATTTACTGTCCATTGTACTGAAATCAATACTAGCAAATGGGACATGCATCAGAGAGGGACTTAACTGGATTCCCAGAGCACACTTCAAACACAGGTAAAAGAGTAAAGCTATGCTGAGATTCATTATAATACCCTGACCTCTAGCACCGTGAACAGGTCTAAAAACCAACAATTTGTAAGTTCAAATCCCACTTCCGCCAAACTTGTCATATGAACTGCCACTATTCTGTTGTTCCTCCCTCCATCAAAGATAGATTCAGTTTTAATATTTCACAGAGAGACAGTGTGATAAATCACAATAATACTCATTTGGATACATCCAAGACACACCAAGTATTCAAACTGCGGACAGTAAGTCTCCAAATTCTTTTTAACTTGAACACAGTTCTTATCAAAATTCTGGTAAATATTTTCTTAATTTTTCTAAAATCGTATGAAAAATAAAAACAGTACAGAGTTCTCAAAAAAGGAATGCAGGGATAAGCTCCTTACCAGAGAGGAAAATGTATTTTATTCCCATTAGGAAATAGGAAGAAACCAAAAGCAAATGATAAAATTTTCAAGACTAGAATGCATATTACACAACCCCCCCCCCCCACACACACACACAAACCTACCTGAAGGCTACTGAGTACATGTTTCACTATCTAAAGTTAACCAAAACACTATTTTAGGACCTTAAAACAAAGTTTCCAACACCTTAACCTAACCTCACCTTTTTTTGTTTTAAAAAGAAAGCACCAAGGTTTGCATATTCTTTTCTTCCAGAAACCTACTATTTCTGCATCATACAGAGAGCATACTGCAACATTAAAGAGGTGTTTGAGTGCAAACAGAAAAAGACATGCCAAAGAGACTCTGGACAAGTCATTTTACCACACCATATTCTTCATCAACTGGGGAAACAAACAATTGTAAACAAAAATGGTAATTTACAGTAAGTGTTTTAGCAAAGCTTGGAAGGAAGAGGAAATCAGGACATTGTAAGAGCAAACACTGACATCGGGAAACACTGAAAAAAGAGCAGGATACATGATAAAGAGAGAGTAATAGAAAAAATAAAAATTGGGACACAGAAAGATTAGTAACTACTATTAAGTCACAGGACTAGAAGTGGCAGAGCCATGCTCGGTACTTGTGCCTTCTATGGACAAGGTGATGATGGTCTAGAGGTATAAATACTTTAAGGTGGTACCAGGAGACACACTGAAGGGAGTATTTTCAAAGGCTAAGCATTAAGTGCAGGGATGCCAACTACAGCAAACTTATAATTCAAGCATGTACCAACCGCCAGATAAAATACAGCTTCAAACCATTCTATAAATTCAGGGATTTGTAGAATTAAACTGCTTAAGAAAAGAATTTCAAATCACTTGAAAGTTATTAGAACATAGATTTAATTGCAATTTTTAGGGCAAAATAGAATGGAAAAATACCCCCAAACAAAGAGGTATCAATCATGGAACAAGAGAAATTATGTGATACATAACTGTACCATATACTATTTCCTTTATATTGTATACTGGAACCCTTATAACACAGTAGCTGTTATAATTTCTCCTTTAAGACAAAAATAATTTAAGGTCAAGGTAACAGTAAATTTCAGGAAATCACTACAAAATTGTAGAACATATAAACTTAGAATGGATGGGGAGCTGGTAAGCTTGAATCAAATGTAATTCCACAAAATGAAAAGCAAGTTTTTGCTCTTCGGGATCATTCAATAGACCAAATTCATAACCAAGCTCTCAGAACTACAGATGGAGAAAAAAATTAAAGGAATGTGGTAAATCACCCATGCTCTCATCCACATTCCCTTCCCTATACATGCGGTCAGAGAATCAGTCAAAGGGATTGACTGTCAAATCTAAACAAAGAGACTTATATGGGTGAAAACTGTGGCATGATCATTTATTATGAATACAGATTTATATGTATGGTGGATGCTCTGCCAACACACCCACTGAACACAGGGGTTAACCACGATAGAGACAGAATGCCTTTTGAGCTCCTGGCTTTTGTGTTTTAATAAGAAAGAAAAGACAACTTGAATGGCATTTTATCTTACTCAGGAAAGAAATCTGAGCTCTGATAAAAAGGAATACATATTAAATAGAGAGAGAGAAAAAAAAAACAATGTAGAAGGGGACTTTTTTGACTGTATTGAAGGAAATAGGCTGGAAAGACAAAAGGGCCATACTGGTAAGGCCAGAGGATGCATAATCCTTGTCCCTATCTCCACTACCACATATAAAAACCATAGCATTGTGCTTAAAGGGACGGTGCCAGGCTCGCAGTCATGGGGAAAATGGAACAGTGGAGGCTTTTCTTCCAAGGTTTCCCTCATATTCTGAAGGAATGAAAGCAGGACAGCGTCCTTAGATGCTACTTTTACTTCACAGCAAAGAAAGGGACATGTAACCTACATTCTGGTTGTCCGACTCGGGTGAGGGGGGGATCTCAAGTGAATTTTGGTTCAGACATAAAATCCGACATGGCTCACACTTCCCCTGTAGTGTAGGAACATGAAAATGACTTGATGCCCTGAGGAACACACGGTGCTAGACTCCTAATTTTATTAGAGAAGAGATGACCAGCAAGCGTGCACGTAACTTTAAGGCTCAGCAATCGAATCAGTCAAACAGAAAATTATGGTAAGGACTTTTATGATCATCAATTTAAGGCAACACTTTAATTACAATTAAAAAACAAGAATACCCGAAAGGAAGAGAAACTAGGAATTATGATCAATCATAAAGACAGAATTAATCTTGAAACAAGTATTTTGTAAAAATTAAAGAGCATTACCATGTTTGTAGCTTTTAGAAACTATGAATACATAATTTTAGAAAGCCAGAATAACCAAATGAATGCATACTGAATACAAATGTTCAATTGTCCTAAGAAAGAGAATTTTCATGCTAAAAAGAAAGGCAGATCATCTGGTCCAAGATATGAATTAAATCTTAACAGGAACACTGTTATAAAAGAACACATAAATAGCTGTGCTTGTTAAAGTACAGCTGACAGTCGGCTTGCTTTGTCTCTCCTCTGCATGGCTCCAGGAAATTTCTACAAAAGTTCTTTTATGGAACAATTTTAAAACCACAGATTGAGTGCTACCTCTAATTACTGAAAAAGAGAATTAGGCCAAAAGGTAAAGTTGGGCAGGGGCAAACTATAATCAGGACTAGAACCTAATTCTTTTCATTTTAGTGGTCTATTATGTTCTGTTGTTTTACTTTTTAAAGAAAAAAAAATGAAGTTCTTTTTTCTAAGTAATTCTACTGACTCCTTTTTCAAATCCCCTGGCTCGTGGTCTTTCAACTGTAATCGTTCTGGATACAAGTAATTGGTAATACAAAAGAGATCAAATCAGTAAAAAGAAAGAAGAAAGAAAAGTCAGCCACTCCAAATTCATTCTGTTCAGGTTTAACTACAGGCCACACATTCCTGGAAGGTGTTTTGACTACAAACTGGTAAGGGGGGTTGGGGGTGGGGCTTTTTAGTCATCCTATAATTACAAAAAACTGTCAACATGAAAATTTGGTAAAGGGTGCCATAACATATTTGAAGGTGATAGACTGGAAAATTTTCAGTCCGTGACAAGTCTTTTTGCTAAGTATCTGCTGTGTGGGAAATGGTACGAAAATAACTTCGTGAACCAACTTTCAAGGATCCCCAAAGAAAACCAGAAATGATTATCACATTCCTTATAACAAACCAATGAATTTCAATGCACTTCCCAAGCCATTTCCTAAGAAAACCTTCCGTACCTCTGCCCACAGAGACCAAAACTGAGTTTAAGTGAATGGGCTCTCAAAAAGGTTGCAACTCCAGCCCGTTGGAAAACAGAACCTTTTCCACGAACATTCTGATTATGGACCCCGAGAGATTTTTAAATCGGAGCTTAAGAAGGCAATCGACTCCGGCGAGGAGGCGATTTCGAGGCCGCCTGAAAAGTCGCACCGGGGGCCGCAGTGGCTCGTTCCTAGCGGTGTCGCTCTGCTTGTGTGACAGACAGCACTATGCCAGGGGACAACTAGGGGTTCGGGTGTCTTTTATTGCCTTGCCGGAAACCAAGAGACACATGGGCTCCTTCCAGGAAGACAGGAAGCCCCCGCGGCCTGCAGCCAGGGCGAGCGTCGCAGGGCCGTCCTCCGAGACCGCCGGGCCCGCGCACCGGGCCGCGGGGCTCCGCTCCGGGCGGACACTGACCTGCCGGGTCTGCGCCACGCCCAGGCGCCGCGGAACCTTGCCTCAAACATTCTCCGGGAAGCTGGGCTTTTCCTAGCCGAACCGCGGGGACCCACGCTTCCGGGACTCGCGGGCTTCCGGGACGACGGAAGACCCGGAAGTGGCTGAAGCAGGGCCACTCGGGAAAGGACACCCAGTCGAAGCAAGCTTCCCAGGTCTGAGGCAAGCCAGCCGGACCGGGGCCCCAGTCACGGAAAAGGCCGAGGAGCCGAGCAGCCGAAGGGCCGAGCAGCCGAAGGGCCGAGCCGCCGAAGGGCCGAGTCGCCGAAGGGGACACCCCGGGCTCTGCGATTGGTCGGCCGAGCGGTCTCCGTTGGGCGGAAGAGTCACGGAGCGGTCAGCGCGGGGTCGGGCCCCGGCGGGAAGAGGCTTCCGTGTCAAGGCCCGGCGGGACGCCTGGGCTCCGCGGGCGGGCTCGGGGCCTGGGGACGCCACCGCGGGCCGCCGGACAAGCGCCGCCGGCTGGTGGCGGGGCGCCTGCGCACCTGCGAGCTGAGGGATGACCTTGTAAGGAGGGTGCCCTCTCCTCCTGCGGGTGTCGGTACGACCGGCTCCCCAAATGTGAGGTCGTGCTTTGCGGCCTCATCTGGTGGCTCCTCTGAGCAGAGGCTGCAGGCCGCTGGGTGGGGGCAACCCCGGTGACAAGGAGTAGGATGGCCTTGACTGGTGGGTTGTTTGTAAGGTTCCTATGAAATCAAGTCGAGCCCAACTCAAAAGTCTTAAGATCCTTTTAAGGCTCGCAAGCCCGTACCCACCCTACACCAGCTCGATTCAGGCCGATGGGGGTACTGATACAAGAATATGATTCTATCCTCTAGTCCCAAACCCTCTCCTTGTATTTTATTTCTGGAATTACCCTGTACACCAGAGTTCTTTTTCAAAGTATGCAACGTGGACAAGGAAAAGGAGAAAGGACTAAGCAACCCTCGGTACCATCCACCCAGTACAATACTGGTTTATTGAGAGATTAAAGACACAGTTTGCTATCCCTTAACACCTGGTGTAACTACTGTGCATTAAAAGAGATCTTGGGAGCAAAATGGGCCGGAGAAGAAAGAAGGCAGACTTGAAACAAATTCTTTTCTACCAAGTGACCCAACCCCATAGATGGCACAGTCGAAGCTACAGGTTGGTAGGGTGTGGAGTTCAGACAGGGACAGAAGGGAGGTTTCTAGAGATGTAGCCTGTGTACCCCTTGGTGGCCACTGACTTCTTGTGACTTGTTTGAAATACACTCTGCTCTGTAAGGGATGGACATGATTCTAAGACACAACATAAAGAGATACAAAAGGCTCATCAATTTTACGTATTGATCATTATATTGAAAGTGTTCCAAAGATTTCAAATTACATAATATGGTTCCCGTTATATTTATGTTGGACAGTGTTCGAAAAATTAAATTATCTTTGAAGAGGAGCAGGAGGTTGACTTAGTTGTGTAGGAAGATGTCTCGGTTGCCCTTCTCAGGTAGCCTGGGATTCACTTAGTTTTTGTTTCCTGGTGAGGCTGTTTTCTCCTGGGTAGCTGTGGTTGACCTCAACAGCGGTTCTGTCTCAGCTACTATGTGCTGGGACGACAGCTGTATAGCATCTTGCCTAGTTTCACTTGATTTTTATGGGAATGACAAAGGTGGGAAAAAAAAGGACTAGGGAGAGGGTTCAGTAATTAAAGGTGCTTTCTGCCAAGCAGGAGGGTCGAACTGGATCCCAGAGACACACATGCTGGAAAGAGCATCTCTTATTGAAGCTTGCATGGTGATGGTCCCATATAAACAGATACACACACATAGACACACATACAATAAACAGTTACATATAAACACATGCACACACATACACACAGGATAAACAATTAGATATAAACATATGAACACACACAAACAATGACAAAAATGTATAGAGAAGACATTTTCAAAAAGCAAGTCCAGTTCAAGGAGTTTTCATAGGTCCATGAACATTACAGTATCTCAATAATAAAGATCCCAACTTCACAGGAAATTTGAATTATGTTAAATGACTTTATGTTTGAATTATGTTAAGAATGCAGGAAGCAAGCATAACATTTAAAATTTCTGCTAAAAATACTTAAAATAATTTCTAGATTTATTTTCAATATAGGTACTTCTTTCTTTATTTGTTTGTTTTTGTAGTGAGCTAGTAGTTCCAGAAACTTTGTTTCCTGTATTTTAAAACACCTTAAAAAACATATTCACTCATTTATTGAACAAAAGCCTAGGCCAGGAATATTGTTAGACACTGTTAATGAGAATACAAGCCAAAGAGAAGACAGACATGGCCTTTGTTTCTAGGAGCTAATAAGGATCAAGTCAATGACTATCTAGATGATAAGCAAGGCATAGTAGTTTTTGCTTTTGGAAATTAAACACATTAATATTTTAAGCCTAGAATTTATTCATACAAATGTCCCAAGAAATAGTCTTGTGAAGACTTGACTGTGGTCTTTTAAAAAATACTGAAAAAATTAATATAATTCATTTACCATGAAAGTTTAAAGAAGAAAAATTGATTATTCTTTTACCTTTAAGTACAAAGAAAATATTAAATTATAATGGCATCTTATATCCTCCTTTTGCCTTTTAGTGACTTTTAGGTTCTAAAGAATTTAACAATAAAAATGTTAAGAACACATTGATTTGTGCCTCTAACATATTTTAAAATTGCTGACTTTAAGAAGTTAAATTTATATTAGCATATTACATTATTCTTAAATCAATATAATTGGGTCTTTTAAGAAAAAGTTGATCTTACAATCTTGTTATTTTACTATTGCTGCTGTAATGAATTACCACAAAGTTAGCACCTCAAACAACCCTTATTTTTTTATTTTATATTTCAAGATGGGCCTTAATGGGCTCAACTCAAGGTGTACACAGGCCCTGCTTTTCTTCTGGAGGCTCAATGGAGGAATCTGGGGCTTTTTGCTCATTAAAGGTTGTTTGATTGGTTGCCAAATTTAGCTTCTTGCTGGTGTCAGGCTGAGGTTTCTTTCCATTATTTTCTTTTTTTCTCCATGACTGTTATTAGCAGATGACTGTTCACATTGTCTGGAAGCCACTTACAGTCTCCATGTTCTCATTGTCTTCCCCCATCTTCTAGTTAGCAACAGGGATAAGACCCCCAACTCTTCTGTTCTTACCTCTATCCAACTCTCTAAGCACTGTTTTATGAAAAATCCATTTGATTATGTTGAGTCACCTCATGTCAAGTCTGTAACTAATCACATTGGCAAAGTCCCTTTTACCATGATATGGTAATGAGAGGGCCAGGCAAATATCATGACAGCCTACTCTAATAACTCAGTTAAGAACTAGGCCTTGGTCCCAGGTTCTTAGAATGGAGCAGGCAGTTTCTGAGTTAGAGCCATGAGCAAAGGACAATCAATTTCCAACATCACCAACATCGAGGACAAGGAGTAAGGACTACACATACTAGGCCTGAGCCAGCATCCACAGTCAATAAGCTCAAGGTAATAACCAAATAAGGACAAAGCCTGGGACTTGTCCAGGCCTGCCCCAAAATGGAAAAACTGTAGCCTTAACTAGCATCTGAGTAGCCCTAGACAATTAGAATGCACTAGTATGATTGCCACTTGCTTAAGCCAATCATATCTGAAATGACCTAACTGCTCTAGGAACTCCTTTTAGCTGTGCTTAAAAGAAGCCTGCAATCTTCTCTGGGGGTCATCACCATTTTGCCTTTGTGTAGGATGGATGGCCCCAGCATGCTGGAACAATAAACGCTCTTGTTGATTGCATATGTGGATGGTGGTCTTTTGTGGGACTTCTCCAGGACCCCAACATATTCCTAGGTTGTAGGGCTTGAGACATACTCTTCCGACTGTAGTTGCCCCTAAGCTAATGCCCAAATTCTTTAGAACAGCAGATACCATTCTGATAGTCCCTTGCCTGGTATTTAAACAACATTCACTGTAACTTCTCACATTTCTGGTTTGCTGTTAACATTCCTTGAAGGAGGCCTGTTTCTTAAGGGATGATAAAGGGGCAATGGCACCTTGGTTTCCTGGCCATAATGCCTTCTGATACCACTTTTAAAAACTTACTTTCTCATTGACTACTTGCTGTCTTTGCCTTTATTCTTGTCCCCATACTTTCAGATGTGTACTACTAAGTTGATGGCCTTTACCTTTACCACACTTGTTTGCCAGAGTAGTCTTTCCTAAATACTAAACTCCATAAACCCCTCCAAACCATGTAGTGTTTGCATTGTCAATTAAGCCTTTCTCTGCCTTTTGGCACCAGTTACATACTGGTAGTATAGTGTGTAAGATGTCAAGCAAGTGTTTATTTATACATGTTATTTCCTCATATAAATCATGAATTCATTTGAGTGGTTTTGCTTAAGTCTATTTTATCTATAATATATTAATATTTATTCATATTATTTTGTCATACTATAAATTATTTATTCTTTTTGTCTCATCACTAATCTGTGAATCTGTGAACTCTTTCTGTTTCCCTATGTGCCTATTGGCATGAGAAAAAGTAAGTAATTGGTGAATAAATAAATTGGGAAGAATAATACAGAATTCTTAGCACCATTCAGTTGCTTAAGTCTGAAAAGTTTATGAAGTGATTTTTGGAGAAAAATATAATCATTTTATTATCATTAATTTTTAGATTGTTGAAGAAATATAACTGGTAGTTTGATGTATAAATTATAGAACTAGAGCATTTGAATCCTTCCCCTGTCCCTTACAAATCTGTGTGATCTTAAGCAAGTTCCTTGACCCTGTCACCTTAAAACAGAATGATAATAATAACTTCCTTTTATGGTTAAATAAGTAAATGAGAGATTTAATAAAATGTTTGAAACTGTATTTCACATAGTGAACGTTCTATTAATAATTGTAATTAAAAAACGGTATTTTCTATTCCTACTGCTTTTGATGATAAGTAATGATTTTTATGGTACAGTCTGTTTTTTAAAATAGATCCATGATTTACAATTGGATTGTTGAAGTGGAATTTGTTTACGTTTAATGATCTCTAATACATATAATGACCCTGTATACTCTTTAAGTATTTGTGTATAATCTTTTTAACTAGGAGTTGACATAC